CGTTTGGAGGAGGTCCTGGGAGGTAAGGGGGGTACACAGAGACGGTGTAGGAGTATGGGGTGTTCATGCGTGCAACTGGCCTGAGAGGAGTTTCTCTAAGCACATGGAGCTTTATCAGTGGGCACAGCTCTACCACAAAATACACCAGCAAGCACATACTTGGGCCTCAAGAAGTATTTGGTAGAAACTGATTTTCAATTTGCAATCCTTACTCTTTGTGCTTTACATTGGAGGCAAAATGCCCAGAAATCACGTATGTAATCCCCTCACTGTATCACATCCCCTCCACAACTAACCCAGAAACCAGTAACAGATGAAAGAATGAACAAAAGATGGTATCACGGAGTGTTTAGGGGTCATAAAACATAAAATTTTTATGTTTGCTACCAAATGAATGAGCCTCAAAGACACTGCTGTTAGCTGGGCGTGGTGGCTCATACCTGTAATCACAGCACACAGGAAGGTGGGGCAGAAAGGTCACAGGGTTAAGGCCAGTTTGGGCTACCTATCAAGTTCAAGGCCAGCATGAACTACATTATTAGGCCCTCTTTCAGAAAAAAAAAAAAAAAAAACTTACAGAAATAAGTCTGCTATACAAGAATACAAGGACAAATAGTATAAGATTCCATTTATATGAGCTACCTAAATAGGACTTTCATCGAGGCAAAGAAGTTGAATAGAGGTTCCCAGGGCCCAGAGACTAGGGGGACGAGGGAGTTATTATTTAATGAAACTAGTTTTTACTACAGACGATGAAAAGTTTTACTGGGTGATGAAAAGCCCATTGTATATAGCAGTAGAAGGGAAAGGAGAGAGGGAGGTTGGACCCTGTGACAGCAGACTTGGAAGAGGGAAAGAGCATTCACCGGTCGACCCACCTTCCATCCTCCCCTCAGAGCTGCACACAGATGGGTGACCGGAAACGGCTGAGAAATGAAAGGCTCACACTATGCCTGGGCGAGTCAGCACTCTCCTTGGCATCTCCACTAGTAGGAAATCCCTCCAGCAAAGAAGCACACCAGACCTTCAAAATGCACTGGAGTATCTTTGTCTTCACTGCTAAGCTGCTCCGTGGGGGCAGGTAGGACCGGGAGGCCTTTTCTGTCTTTAGCGGTATGCCACGGGAAGAGACTTTCACCCTCTGAGCTTAGCTTGTCATGATATCATGGGAGAAAAACAGACACCACGTGGGACTTTTGTTCTGTTGTTCAGCTTGCAAAGTGTTAGTACACGAAATATTTGCAGTGGAATCTGCACAGAGTACACCCTCAGTAACGCTAGCTACTGTTTTCATAAAATTTTTTTTGCAAGTGTTATAGTTTGTGCTCAGATGTCCCCCCAAAGCCTCCTGTGGATGAGGTGGGGCTTTCCTTCTCAGAAGCAGTTGAATCTGGAACGTGTGATGCTGGGTTGGGGGTGTGTGGTTACTAAGCCACCGTACCTGACTGATTGGCTTGGTGGCACTGCCCTAACCCCGACAGTCTGAACAAGACAAGAGGGGCAGAAAGATGCCATTAAACCCGCTTGTTACCTTCATCACCTTGTGTTTCTCCTCTGCAGTGCTTGTTTGCCATCCCAGCCTCAGAGTCAGCCAATTGTGAACTGAAACCTCTACAAACTGTAAGCCAAATTCCCTTTTCCCTCCAACTTTGGGCATCAGGTATTTTGTCTCAGCAATGAGAGAAAAGTAACTGACATAATCAGCATTTTTACCTCCCAAAAATGGAGTTCAGAGTCATCCTTTCAAATACTATCAGGAAAGTCGAAAGCTCTTCTCATTTATAAATTCTCAAGAATGAGGACTTGTAAGATTAACAAAGGTTTTGGCAGTAGCATATCGAAAAGAACACACAGCAAACTGTCGACAAGCTTTGTCAAACAGAGGGTAAACGTGCAGATTCACAAGTAACAGGCATTCACATCCCTTCCCCTGCCCCAGGCTGCGCCCACCTCAGCATTTCCAATTGATGCACACAACTAAATCTCAACTAGCACACCGGAAACATGTGACTGCAAGTGAGCAAATAGCCTTGGTGTTGCCCTTGGGACTGAGCTCCCAGGTGATATGAGCCATTGCCTCCTAAATGGACGCTTTCTCCACCCCTCACAAACTCTCTGACTCAGGTAGAGAGAGGTGATGGTGGAAATTAGGGGTGAGAGACTTAGGTTAGCATACCCACTGCAATATACAAAGAAAGAACTTGAGGTAATTGAATATTTAAAATGAAAACCATGAACCAGGAAAATAGATACTGGTCCATGCTGAGTGCTTAGAGAGCAAAGTAAAGAAAAACGCAATTTTCATTTCTAGGAACACAGACTTTCTGGTTTTCCTGTACCAGACTTCTCTGTTCACTTTCCCCACACCATGCCTGCACTGAGCTCCAGGAGAACTTCTGACAGGTAGGAACACAAGGGGCTCGGGGGCCTGGAAGTGATCCACTGGCTACAGGAAGGAACGATAGGAAAATGTCATTTACAGAAGGCAGGAAAGGCCAAAGTAACCACACTGAGGGGGGGTGCTTTCCCCATAAGAGAAATGAGCACAGATGGTGCCTTAAGTCCACTGCTGAGTGTTTTGTTTTACCAACAATTATACAATTGCATCTGGGAGACTCTAGGTAGATAATCTGAGAAATGTATTACCCGCCTCAGGTCTTCCAAATGCTCTCTAGACCTTGGAAATAAGGATAAAATGAATGAAAAAGCATGTGATTTTTTTTCAAATGTCTACCTATACATATCTTCTTTACATCTTTGATAAATATAGTTCAATATTCCACAAAATACCAAACTTATATTTGGTGAAACAGCAGATTTTACATAATCGATGATGAGAGCAGGGATAAGATATAAGAAAGAACATTAAATGTATTTTAGGTTTATCAATTAGTATTTGTAGTACACATAGTTGTGCAAACATATGCATTTACATAATAACAGTGAACACTGATCACAAATTTCCTACAAGCCAAGCCTTTGTAAATTCTCGGTGTTAACCTATATAATCTCGATAACTCCCCACGAAGTAGGTACTAGTACCATCCACAATACACAAGGTGTAACATACACATTTTATCGATGAAGAAACAAACAACAGAAGTTGCTAAACTTGTGCAAAGACCCTGCAGTGCACACTGGAAAACTGGGGTCAAAAATGCATACTTGCAAAAGGAAAAATGAATACATAAGAATGCACATTTATCCACAGTACAGCTCTCTGACCTGGGCCTTTTCATTTCTATATTAAGTAGTCAGGAAGCCTTGTGATATTCATTGAACACATTGAAATGACTGCAATAATTGTGGAAACAATTTTTTATAAATTCTTCCAAACTGAAACTACTTGAAAAATCTAGAGTAAGCCAATCTGTGGAGGTTTGAACATATTGTATTAAAGATTTTGTTTTCCTTCTTTTCAATGCTCTGTGGAGTTTCATGAGCTATGAAGACTCAAGAGAACAAGTCAAAGTACCTTGCAGAAATTCTGTATACCACTAAAACTAGCTGCCAACCATAAATCAGCATCTCGCTATTTTCCAACCTATTTATAAAAGTGCAGCTGTGAAATATATCTAAAATACAAGTCTGGGTATATTTATCTGAAGACAGTACTGTTAGCAATAACCTTTTCAAACAAACAAATACTATCTATCAAAAGCAAAGTAATTGCACTATGTTAAAACGTTGGGAGTGGAGTATTTAAATTACTGCTTTAGCTGATATGATAAATAGTGGAATTCCACCTGGTGTCAGCTCCACTCTAATTGTCCCGGAGCTTGATCCTAAAAACAGTTCGGTTCTAGTTTTTATTGAAAGAAGAAATATAACTGAATCAGAAACCATGTCTGTATTCCCAGTGAATATGCTGAGAAATTCTAAGAGTTTATGCTCAGAATGAATTCAGATTCCAAGATTACCCCAGCATATGTTTGATATTATTTTCTGGATTAGTTTTCTTCTCATAGGTACAGCCTACTGTCCTGGAAACTAGACAAATGCCACACGTGTCCAATGCCCCTTTCTATACTCTTTCTCAACAATGGCAAGTTACTTTTCTTTTTAACAAAATCAATCAAGAAAAAAAATCAGTACAAAAAGAAGTTCCAGTCTCTTTGAAGCTCCAGATTTACAGAAAAGTAGATAAAAGCCAGAACCGTATGATTTTCTCAGCAAATTCAGATGTCACCTGTTGGCAGTGTTTCATGTGACAACAGTCTTTGATCACCAATTCATTGCGATATCCATTCAACTGGAAAACTCCAGGCATTTGTTTAATTATAGCTGACAGCTTGATGCATATAATAAAGTCTAACTCTAATTATTGAAATTCATAGTTCTTAAGCAGAAATGTGGGATAATCTCAAATACAGATCTTAGAACGGAAATTTAAGGGGGAGGGACAATTCCATACTTCATTCTAGTACCTAAATACATAAAAATTCTTTGAATTCTCGGCTCTCCTCCCAAAAACACAGCATTTGAGAACAGCAGCACTGAAAGTTCTGCTCAATCACTTAAGCTAAATAAAGTCTCAATTTCAAGCAAAAGCTTAAAAGGACCATTTGTACATATTTATAACATAAGCCACCTAATACTAATAAGAGTCTGATACTCTTCCAGAAACATACAATTCAATATCCATATTGATTGCTAAAGTTGACTACTAATTTCTATATCATTTTATGTTCCAAAGACTAAAAACATTTGTCATTCTCTCATAAAACCAAAGAAACGTCAAAAGGCTACTTTCGAACACAACTATATTCTATGGAATATGGATTTATGTGACTATAAATTTTTTAAATCCACTCAGTAGAAAGGGTTTAAATGCAATTTGTAAGCTTCTGGGTACCCTGGCTTTACACAAACTGTGTGTAAGAAGAGGAGGTCTGGCTGGTTCACATCATGTCTGTAGCTAGCTTACTGTGAATTATTACTGTTTCCATTATAATAACTCTTCAGAATACAAAACTAAACAAAGAATTTTATACACTTACCACAGGCCACATGACGCTGAAGAATCTTGACAGGCTCCAAATCTACATTTTCCTGACTGTGACATTGATCTCATGTCTCTGAAATGTAAATCAATAAGGCTCAACCTAGTGCAGACTATTCTATATAAGTTACACCTAACATTTCTAAAATCCACAAAAAGGTGTCATAAAATTAAACTGAGTAATAAAATACCTGAAAATTCACAGCCAAATAACAAAGTCAGTTGTCTTGGTCACTTTTCTCATTGCGGAGATAAAATACCTGACACCCGCAACTCAAAGGTGGAGAATCTTATTTGGCTGCAAGAAGGAAGGTATGCTGGAAAGTCCTGGGTGGGTGGAAAAGAACTTCTCTGGGCAATGGTGGCCTGGAAAAACAGAGCAGAGGGAGAGGTTGGGGAAGGAGATAACTCTTCCAGACCAGGCCCCCAGTGGCCACTTCTTCTGACGAGACCCTGCCTACTAGCAAGTCAGCTATGAGTCCCATCATCCCTTCCAAAAGCCTGGGGCTCTTGGGGGACATCTAGATATAAACCACGATATCAGTAAAATAAATAAGTAGCTTCCACGAACTGTGGAAAGGAAAGCATCTTCTTCTCTTTTATACTACCATCAACTGCCATAGTAAAGATTGGATTCATTCTAGTGAAATTTTCATTTGTTTTAGATTCTTTGCTCTTGGTTTAAGTATGAATATCCAGGAAGTATAGCACTCCACGAAATAGAGGTGATATATTTTCTAAAAGTAATAGAAGTTCCTTTCTATTAATATAGTCAGCATGCCAATCACTTGACTCATTTAAATGATTTATTAATTTAAGAAATGCACCTGCCTTGGAAAGCAGAAAATACATTTAGTAAATCTATGCAGCAAATGTGAAACGTGCACATGTTTAAAGAGATGTATGTATGTGGATGCTTACCTAAGGTTATTTTATACACAATTTGAAATTTAAGTAGTGAAAAGATTTTAATAGTAATGTTCATTTTATTCAATATTTGCTTTCAGAAGAGTTACTGGCTCTCTTTTTAAAATAAATTCACTGTTTATGTGAAATTATTTTGGGGTGTTATGAATTTTTCCCTAAATTATGACAATTTCATTATTTTTTCATTCGACTTATTTCCTGGGCAATTTTATTCAAAATGGTTAATGGTTCATCCGTGATGTGTTCTTTGAAAATGTATGAGCAAATTTGAATGCCCGCTCTCACCATTATTCTAAACAGGAGCTACATAAACCTCCCTCCTCATCACAACCACGTACTTCAAATAAATTTAGCATTATGTTCACAGAGGTGTTCATGAAATCACTCAACACCAAAGGAAGAATGTTTCCCATGGTTTGGAAAACCAAAATGAACTAAAGGTGGTGGTTGTGCTGAAGTATAGATACTTTGTTTTTGTTTCTATTTTTGGTACTGGGGATCAAACTCAGGACCTTGAACTTGAGAGGCAGGCAGCGGAACCACTGAGCTAAAAACCCCGGCCCTGAAGTGTAGATATCTGAATCACATAGTGTTGAAAACTCTACAAAGTAGGTTTTATGGTTTATATCTAAATGCTCCCCAAAGCTCATAGATAAGGCTATGGGTCATGGATGTGTGATATACAACAGTGGACCAATCCACTACGAGTCGGTAGTAAATGTGGTGCTAGTAGATGAAGCCCAGTCAAAAGAGGTGAGTGACCAGGGCCGTGGCCCAGTACGGCGTACCTTCCCCAACTCCTCCCTTGATCTATCTGCTGCCTGCCACCATGAGCCATAAGCTGTTTCTTCTCTGCCATGACCTTCTGCTATGCCACAGTGCCTTGGATCCAGCAGACTATACAAACTTCTACACACGGTGAGCTAAAGTAAATTTTTCCTCCTTCAACTGGTGGGTGTTACGTATGTTGTCCCAGCAACGAAAACGTAATCAAGTAAGTATGTATGAGACATTTTCAGTTTACTTCTTTCGCAGATGAGGTATTACATTTTTCAATTTCATAAGGGAATTTATAAACATCATGTATTTTAGAACCCTAGGAAACATGTCAGAGGATCTCACTCGGGTCAGAAACCACTGTGATGAGAACCCTGAAATAGGGCTTTCTCCGAGGGAGACATAGAAGAGTGGATTTAATGACTGAGGTGCCTATTATTTAGGAGTGAACATTCTCAACACATTGAAGTTTTTGTAATATTATATTATCATGGGTTTTAGAGTCTCTTGATAGCTTCCTTTAAAATAATAACATTATCATAATTTTCAGTGGGGTTGACATTACGTAGACATTTGAAAAGCTGTGGAATATAAAGAGAAACACTCAAAATAACAGAAAAATTTATATGTACAGCCTTCATAGATCTAAGTCTAAGCCTATTGGGCAAAAGTTACATACTTTATATGGGAAAGTTATAAATATTTTATAAAGTGATATCCTTAAAATTAAGTCGGTTAAATGCTTTCTGATTGTTTTCCTTTCTTTTCTATGCGTTTAGGATAAAACTTCATTTGATCATGGGCTTTGAAGGGTGAGCTGTCTAAATAGAAGGGTTAAGATCTGGAAAGGCAACTTATACCCAGTTAACTCTAAAGGACCAAATGCATATATGCAATTTAAAATCTACACCACAAGCTGCGAACTGTCTTAATCATTTTATACTATTTTCTTTAATACTGCAATGAAATCACTTTCCTAAAAGTGTGCCATTCTTTCCAGACAGAGGCAGAATCTGGAGTGATTCTCCCTGGCTGCAAAGCCTTTTCAGTGTGCACCACTGCTTCTTTAAGACGTTCTCAGGCAGTGATGGTGAAGCCTCTTAGAGACCAAGTTCTCCAACTGAGACCCAACACCCACTTATTTATCACAAAGTGTCAACAGTGCAATACAACCTGAATACTGAGGTTTTAGATTAGAAAAAGCAACTCATACACTTGGCTCCATGTTGACACAGAGGGCTCTGCATGTCATAGGTTGGCCACCACTGTCCTAAGGTAGGTCTCATCGCATCTGCAGCCACTGTTTCACCATAGCATACATTTAAATTTGAGAAATTCAGTAGAATTTTACCAAACCTTCAACATTAGGGATTAAAATTTAACCATAGGCCATAAGGAAAAATGGTAAATTAAGTCAAAATCTTCAATACCACTTAGAAATAAAAACCTGTTTATAAGTCCTTTTTGCTGGGGAGAGGGGGAACAAGTTTCATGAGATTATCCATGAGTTAATAAAACATGTGTCTTATTTTGAAGTTGAGTGGTATTGACCTCAGATGCAGTACAAGCTTGGGCTCCAAGAATGTCACATACTGAGCTGACTATATGAAGAAGCCCATAACCCACACGGAGCCCTCTGTCTTTCTGTTGTAACTGCCTCCAGAAGATGATCGTTCACCACAGCTGCCTTGCAGGAACAATTGGCTTTGCTGGTTATACAGGTGGAATTCCCTGATCAAAATGCTTGGGACCAGAAGGGTTTGGGATTTGGAAATTTCTCAGATTGCAGCATACTTGCATATACCTAATGGGATGTACTGGGCATGGGACCCAAGGCTACAGACAAAATGCATTTACGATTTACCTACACTTTATACAATAGCCTGTAGGTGATTTTACACCATGGTTTTAGTACATGTTTGTCTTAACTACAACCAGTCACATGATATTGTTGGACTTTTCCACCTTATGCCATCATTTTGGTACTCACAAAGTTTCAAATTTTAAAGAATTTTGCATTTTCAAACAAGGAATCTCAACCTTCACTAGGAAAGGTGTCCCAGGGCAACTGGAGAATTCTGGTAGCAAGCAGCCCACAGCACCTACCCAGAAACATGCCCTCCATCTTCCATGATAAAAATCTCTCTCCTTCTTGGGACCAGCCATTACGTATGGGCGTAGTGTACAAAGTGAAAATTCAGAGCTCCCTGCTATTAAAAACAATGAGTAAGGCTTTCAAAAGAGCAGCAGCCCAACACGAAACCACACACAGAACCCACTAAGGGCAGGGCCTTACTTAACTGAGCGAGTTTCATTCCCACGTAGCCGGCGCTGTCCCGGCTAACACATACTCTTTCAAACACATACAGTGCTTACTGGGCTATGCTGACATTTAGTCTATGTCAGCAATGCCTCTGGTATTTCTTTGCCTGAATAAGATTGTTAGTAAGTACAGACCTCCTGCATACAGATTTGGTCCTGGCTCAGCGACTGACCCGCAGGCGCCCTCAGCTCATTCAGCAGTCAAGACCGCGAGTTCATTCTGATATCGTAAGCGGTGTACAAACCATTATTCAGAAGTCGGTGAGCTGGTGTTATTCTCTGAACCAAGATTTTACACTGAGCTGTTTAAGACAAAACGGCGTTTCTTGAGGCCCAAGCTAATTGAACACACAGATGATTCGCATTCATGCTTGTTTTCTCAAAACTAAACACATTTGTAACAAAAGGTGTCAGAGCAGCGCAGCTATTAATTCTCCACACTTCTTAAGTTCAAGAAATGCCACATCGCGTACTTCGGCTGCTTAGTCCCCCTTTTGTGTTGCAAAGGCTCCCCACCAGCAGAACTGCGTGATTATGGGCGCCATCTGGGCCGGAAGAGAAACACGTTATTATCCTACCCAGCACTGAGGGTATTCTGTCAAGAAAGGAACCAACTCTTCAGAGAAAGGTTATGCAGAAAAGCTGCTGCCAGAAAACTCACTGCTTCCTTCTCCCCCCCTCCCTCATTTGAAATTCATGAAGATGAAGTGCAGCTTTTGTTTCCCATCAGTAAGATGAGCCTTAATACACTCTTGCCAAAAGCACGCTAACACAGAGTAATTGTTTTTCATCTAAATTGCGTCCAACCTGCTTAGTCTTCAAAGAACATGGATGCCACCGCTTTGATACCCAACTGCAGAATGACAAAGGAGAGGGCACAGAGCACAGGGGCACAAGGAGAATTTTTAATCACTACCTCTCTGTTAGTGAGCCCGGGAATTCTGGGCCAGGAAGAGAGAAGAGAGCAGATTATTAGTAAAGTAGATAAGGTTCCACATTGCATTTGAGACCAACTCTTTTTAAGGGGCTAAAAAAGTGATTTAGAGGGAATTAAGATTCCCCAAGGTGTTTTTAATCTCTTTTCACTCCAGGGCCAGGTGCCTCATGTAGCACTTAAAAGGATTTTAAAAATGAAAGTAAATGTCTAGAACACAGAAAAGAGGTATCCATCTATACAAAGCATCAGCCTTTGTTTAAGAAAAAAAGTAGCTTCAGCTTTGTGAACTTCACATGCAGACATTTTACAATTTTGATGTTGTAATTCATATAGACTTCCGTGCTATGTACATTACATGTAATACATAAAAAAGGCAAAAATCACCAATACTCCTATTTTTTAT